TTACTAGCATAAAATGGTACTTTCTTTTGCAAGCTTTCCAAACCTCTCCTGTATTGAGATGTCCAACAGTTTTTATTTTAAAAACAGTTGTTACTTTATCCTGTTGCACCTGTGTTACGTCTGTATTAAATAATATTTATTATTTCATTGGTGAAATCTCAGTCCCCTTATTAAATTGTGCTGTTAAAATTGAAGGATTATTTATACACACTGATGATGTTGTTATTGTGAGTGTGATGTGGATTAGCAAAGTGCAGCAGCCCAGACAGCTTGCAAATGCACCTCATGGCATTTAAAGCAGACACACCTTTATTTCTGAGATGATTTCGAGGGGTGGGGGGGAAACCATACTGAAACTTCAAAGGAGGAGATTGGGCAGGCCATTGATTTATTGGTGTGTGGCATTTTCCAAAACTGTCGCATTCTTATATCTGAAAACCTCTTTTGAATGATAAATAAGGCAGAAAGAGGTGTCCACAGCATTTTACTTTCATCAAAATGATAAAAGCACCATTGTGCTGTTGTCATGCAAACTCCTCCCTTTGTATACATGCACATGGATGGAATAATGCACATGGAAAGTGAATTGAACTTGTACAGGCAACATTCCTTTTGTCATTGGCTGCCCATCCCTCTGATATTTCTTAGGGCAATAAACTAACAGATAAATGTATACATATTGATTGATTTGATTGATTAATTAATTAATTTTAATCCATAGCCAATAAACAATTCTGAGTAGCTAATAAATTAAAAAAACCCAACCACATGTAAAAAGAATGCAGCAGACCAGAAGGGCAAAATGGAAAAACCAACCAAACCCATTGATGTGAAGCGAAGCGAAGCGAAGCGAAGCGAAGCACAGGTTTGACTCCATTTCCCAGAGCTCCTCAGCTCTTTTTGTGCTTTATTTCCCAGATCTCCTCCAAAAACCCAGGCCTATCTGGGATCTGTGCAGAGAAATGGGTTACATAGCAGCAATCCAGTCTAATGCCCCAGCTAGATTCCAGGCTATGAGTAGGTTGCTAAGTGGCCAAGCTACTTAGCAGATCCTTGTGGATAACCCTGAGCTTTCTTTAAAACCCAACTCTGTCCCTCTCCCCCAACATTTTCCAGATAAAAATGGGACGCTACTCTGCAGGATCTGATAGAATATAGCGACTGGAAGGGTCCTTCATTCCTTCCATTTCAATATTAGCAGAAATACATAAGAAAAAAATACAACAAACCAGCAGTGAATATAACAGTGAATTTGAGGGTAGTATTCTTCAGATGAGGCCACATCTCTTTCAGAAAAAAATAAATCAGTCTTCAAAGATCTGCAATAACCAACTATTCATAAATCTCCAGAAGGCTGTAAGGGTCACTCTTACAAATGGTTCTGTAGAAAGGAAGCCCCCCACCCTAGAGAATATTTATTTCCATGTGTCCTTATAGCAAATAAGTTGGGAACTTCAGCCGGTATTATCTGTGTGCATGCTTTGAGTAAGGTAAAGATGCTAGTCATTCCCAACTCTAGGGATGGTGCTCATCTCCGATTCAAAGCCGAAGAGTCTCCATGGTCATGTGGCTGGCATGACTAAAGCCCGAAGGTGTACGGAATACTTTTACCTTCCCAACAAAGTGGTCCCTATTTTTCTACTTGCATTTTTTATGTGTTTTCGAACTGCTAGGTTGGCAGAAGCTGGGACAAGTAATGGGAACTCACTCGATTACGCGGCACTAGGGATTTGAAACGCCGAACTGCCGACCTTTTTGATCAACAAGCTTAGAGTATTAGCCACTGAGCCACCCCTTTGAGTAGGTAGATTCTAACCAAGCCCAAAGCCATATAAGGGTTTAGAGGTAATAATCAACATTTTGGATTATACACAGAAACAATGTATTGCTAGTAAAGATGGGCATTGGGCAATCAAACCTCACGCTCCCAGATACCAGAAATAGGAAAATAAATTAATCACAAAATTCACATGGCGTTCTTTCTCCCTTTATAGGACACTGTTTCCATTTTATGAACTGAAATTATAGTCAATGAATCTATATCAAGCAAATACTTTTTTTTTAAACAAATAGAGCATCTTATAACAAAGCACACTGCTTTCTCCTCTTTACATTGGTCATCTTTTCTTCCATATATTTAGGAAAATATTCAAGGAGTGCTTTCCATTTTCTGCTCAGACTTCATGTCCTTAAGAAGCAGAATTTACATTGCTGGTATACTGCACATATACTGTAAAACTAATGCTTCATGCCTATCTGTTTTGAAATTATACATTGAGGCCATCTCCTTGTATCTCCTTGTAAAGATACTAGAAATAGAAAATGATCAATTTTTCAAATAGTTCAAATTCCATCGTTTTTTCCTTTCATCCTTGTTATAGGCATCACAGCCTTCTTACACTCAAGCTGCACCAAGATTTCCTAGGGTTCAAACCATTACTGCTTTAGGGAATATTTTAAACTTGTTCCTTTCAAACTTATCTAGAAGTCACATTGATCTCAATGGATTTTCTTTCTGAGTAACTGGCCTAGTTTGTGCTGCCAATAAAACAATGACTTTTGAGAGCAAATGGATTGGTGGTGAGTAGTAAACAGCAGAATAATTTACAAGAAATTATTAGCAATCTGTTCTGCTTAGTATTTCCAGCAGAAAAGTTATTTGTCCTGAGATATATATATTTTAAGGGCGATGACTATAGTATATTTTTCTTTTGGCAAAGCAAAACAATTTGCTTTTTGACAAATCAAAACAACTGGCAGAGCAAAACTGCCTTCCTTTATGTATAACTCTTGCAAGTAAATATCAAAAATAGTATTTCCAGTTCTATTTTGAAGGAATACACTCACATTAAGATATAAAGTGTGGATTCTCAATTATCAGTGACTTTGCCAGCTGTTAAAAATAAGGCAATGCAGAAAACATAGTCTAAAATTATTCAGATATTGGATTGATGTGAAAATGGCAGCTCTCCAAATTTTGTAGCCTCTGAAACAAAACCATCTGATTTGGCATCTAAATTCTGGATGAAATTCCAACATTTGTTTCATTAACTACATATAATTCTGTTATTTCTTTTACATCTCATTTTCTTAGCCAAAAATAGCTTCCAAAGTAGCTAACTATCTAAGGCCAATGCAAAATATAATACAGTGTCATAAAGTGTTTATATGTATATTATATAAGTGAATTGAAGTGGAAATTGCTCATCTAACATTAGCCATAAAGTTTGCTGTTTATAGGATTAATAAACGTGATAGGTGGCATCTAACATATTTTTAAACAGCTTTAGCAATGGTTCTTAAAAATGTGTAGGATTATCAGAATCCCAGTTAGATGCTACAGGTGAAACTTGAAAAATTAGAATATCATGCAAAAAGTTCATTTATTTCAGTAATGCAACTTAAATGGTGAAACTAATATATGAGATAGACACATTACATGCAAAGCAAGATAGTTCAAGCTGTGATTTGTCATAATTGTGATGATTATGACTTACAGCTTATGAAAACCCCAAATCTGGGCGGCATATAAGCTTATTAAATTATGAAATTAAATCCACAATCTCAGAAAATTAGAATATTGTGAAAATATGCTTTAGAACTACTTCAACATTTGTTGTAGATTAGAGGGATAAAATATTATACTGTTAATTTTGAATGTGAAAATTCTGAGCATGTGTTGTATTTCAAATGGAAGGAATTCTGTGGTACCACATTATGCCAGAAAGTTGCTATGCTACCTTTACCTGCCATTAACCATAAAGATTATCCTATGCTTTAGATTTGAAAAGAAAAGGAGTGTTGAAGCATACACAAAAGCAATAGCACTTATATACCACTTTACAGTTCTTTACAGCCCTCTCTAAGCGGTTTACAGAGTCAGCATATTGCCCCCAACAATCTGGATCCTCATTTTACCCACCTCGGTAGGATGGAAGGCTGAGTCAACTTTGAACCTGGTGAGATTTGAACTGTCAAATTGCAGACAGCCAGCAGTCAGCAGAAGTACCCTGTAATGCTGCACTCTAACCATTGCGTCTCCGCAGCTCATCTACATTCCTTCTCAAATCAAATGCATGTTTTCCTGAGAATATTTATTCATTGAATTAGTTTCTATAGCTACCCAATTCTATCCAATTGACTTATGCTAGACTAGTCAGATTTCAGCAGCACCTAGTATGGCCTAAGTCTTGTTCCCAATGTCATGGGATGTTCCTGAAGAAGGTGGAGAAAGAAATAGAAGGATAAAACCTATACAAAACTATCATTTGAAGTGCAGTCTTCATATTCCCATTCACTTGATTTATAGATTATTAATTGGCAACACTGGCCAAAAATTGGTTGAACAAAATATTTATAATGAGAAATAGATATTGCTTTGGATATGCCAAATAAGACACGATGTGACTAAGTAAAATGTATTCCATCAAATAAGGGATTCTTAATATTGTAGGATCATTGTCTTTGCAAAATGGACTCAGGCTCAGGCCTTAACCTATGATTCTCAGAGCATCCCTGCTGAAATTCAGGGCCAGAATGGCTGATGTTCATCTACAGTTTCTAATAGTCCTAAAATTTATCCCATGTCATTTGTGTCACTCTGCAGTATCTGAAGACTAAAATAATAACTTTGAAAATACAGATGCCAGGAGGAAAATGTTATCTCTATATTTTTCTGAAATAAATCGATTTTTCTTCATCTTTCCTTATCCTCAGATGTGAAGTACAGGACACTAGTAGGTTTAGGGAGAGTTTAGTATGTTTACTAATAGGTTTTGGTGAGTTTAGTTTCTCACCATCATGGAAAATGTTGTCAGTTCATTTATTTAACCTTCGTTGTTTCTTTCTGTGTGGGCATGTGAGTATTTTTTACTTACAACAATGATTTCTGCATACATAAAGTTATTCATAGACATGATTTATTGAAAATCAATTCTTTAATGAAACTACTTATTTTCTTTTGGCTGGGGAAAACTGAAGATGTCAATTTTTGTGTCTAGGTGATTGTGAAAACAAGAACAGAATATCAACCAGACCAGAAGAACAAAGGAAAACTTCGAGTGCCCAAAATTGCTGAATTCACAGTCAGTTTCACTGATGGTGTAACAGAAAGATTAAAGGTAAGAAATGCAGAGGTTTGGTAAATGTCCACTTTTCAATTTTCATAGAATAATTAACAGATTGATTTAAAAATGGCATACAACTCAAGACTTAAGAATTCTTGGGTTGGAATATACAGTTTACCAATGCATGGTAATCCATCTGCATTAGAGATTGGATTAGATATATGACATGAAGAGGAAGAGGGATTCAGACAGGCCCGGCCTAGATTTTTTAACCTGCTATTACTCATGAGAAACCTACATTTATAGTAATAATTCAATTGGGGAATCAAACTTCTTGCTTTCATTATAACCATGATTTAAATGTTTCCTTAATTAATTAATTACCTTAATTATCTGAATTCTGGTATGTTCGGTCTCAAAATCACAAGATTTTTCCAGAATCTAAAGGTAAATGATTCTTCATCTTTTTTGTAAAAAGCAGGTATTATATTAAATCTATGTTCTACTCCATCTGTTTCTTATTGGCAAAGAGGTTTCAGCCTGATTACATAGTGGAGAAGCAAATCTGATTATGCCACAGATTGAATTTGTGCTCAATTGCAAAGTTTTATACTGTTGCAAAAAAAATATCCCAGATTAAAAGGATATCATCTCCCTGACTCAAGACGATTACTGGTAATATTGCCACTGTTGGATGGATATGATCAAAAGCAGAAATTGCATTTGAACATGAAACTCAGGCCTGCAGAATATTTCTATCAAGGTCTGTTCATTGGCAAGTATGATCCATTGTCTTTGATCTTGGTTTGCTCTAAAAGATGAGATGACAGCTATAAACTTTGTTTATCAATAAAGAGGAATCATTAATTTTGGTATGAGAATGAGCTGCAACACGTTTTAGGGTGATATGCTCCTGCTCCCGTCATTTCTTTTTTCTGTCTATCATGAGGTATTTGTTCAATTTGCATTTTAATTTAAATTTACTTAATTGTCAGATTTCAAATCAATGAGCAGCCTGTGAATATATACAATTGTATATTTGAAAGAAAAGTGTGCCTGAAATGTCTATAGTTTTCTGATGACCTGCACATGAATATATATATGAAATTTTAATGTAGACATGGAAATAAAAGAATTATAGTCTGATTCTGTAAGGAATTTAATTCTAAAAAAATTAGGACCTAAAATGGAAATATCTTATTTTCTATAGAAAACCAGCAGCTTCCACTTTTGATATTCTGCATTTGGTATCAAATGCAGAAGACTTTCCTAAGCCGCCCAGAGTCCTACGGGATTGGGCGGCACATAAATTTATTAAATTACAAACTACAAATTAAATTAATTAATCTCCATTTATTTAAAACATGGTATCTGGAATAAAACAATCTTGGAAAGCATTTTTTGATCACAGTGCATTGCTAATTCCATAAACATCATAAATAAAATCTATTAAGAATATGTCAGAATTTCATGCATAATTGACAAGCCTTCTATAGTTATACAATATGAGGAAAACAAGCTTCTGTATCCATGTTGCCATATGGATGGCATCCACATCGAAAAGTGATCTTATGGGCGTAGTATTAGCTATCATGTGGCATATGAAGTTGCAGAGTAGTTCCGTTGACTGGAGTACTGTTCTGTATATCACTGAATTCTGTCTCAACGTAAGATCTATAAGATTTAGTTTGAAATGAACTATGGACATGGGAATCAAAAATCTGCCAACAATCAATACAAAATGTAAAAATTAATAGCAGTTGGATTTAAATCAATGCAATGGCCACCTTTTGTGCTTTGAAAAGTTCTGAGAATCCTTTGAAATCAGTATCTTATGCTTTCTTAAGCCAGGAAAACTGTTTTCTTCGTTGAGACTCTATAGTCTGAAATTTGGAGGTATATTTAGTTACAAAAACACATTACTGACAACATAGTTCCCCATCACATTTATTTCTCTTTAATTGATCTCCCAAGCTACTTGCGGAGCTACTTGGGGAGATATGATAGCAGTGTTCCAATATCTCAGGGGTTGCCACAAGGAAGAGGGAGTCAAACTAGTCTCCAAAGCACCTGAGGGCAGGACAAGAAGCAATGGGTGGAAACTAATCAAGGAGAGAAGCAGCTTAGAACTAGGGAGAAATTTCCTAACAGTTAGAACAATTAATCAGTGGAATAACTTGCCTCAAGAGCAGTGGTGAATTCCAGAACCTGTTGCAACTGGTGTGCGCATGCGTCATACCTGCCATTGACAACTCTGCAAGCCTCCGTGATGCTCCAGCTGTTTGGCGGAGCATCACACAGGTGCTGTATGTGCCATGCACCATGTGCATGTGCAGAAGCATCCAAGGCTTTAAAAGACAAGTAAGGAGCTCAGGTGGGAGGGTGGGCCTTCTGGAGCACCGTACCGGAACAGTACCCGGTGCTCTGGGCAGGCTCCGGTACACCGGTACCAGGGCATACTGCTTGCAACCCACCACTGCTCCAAAGGTTGTGAATGCCCCAACACTGGAAGTTTTAAGAAGAGGTTGGATAACCATTTGTCTGAACTGGTATAGAGTATCCGTCCTAAGCAGGGGTTTGGACTAGAAGATCCCCAAGTTCCCTTCCAACTCTATTATTCTATTCTATTTTATTCTATTCTATTATTCTCTTTCTAGCATTCTTCTCACACTGGTTGTTATCTGAGTCAGCAAATAAATCCAATGATTCAATGGAAAATGTCAGTGCTATTTTCTGATTCTTTATCTGATTTTGATTTTGACCTCTCTGTATTACCTATTAATCACCTACCATGATAAGAGAAAATAGATCAGGCCATAAACGTCTGCCTGCTTTTCATAGATGCTGTTCTGACCTGGCTCCAAAACATGACAAACCCTCTGTAGTTACCTAATTGTTCCCTTTATTAGGAGTGCCAGCAGCCCTGGCAGAAAGTGTCTCTCTCTCACACACACAACAAGCTAACAAGCCTATCCAGCAGGGAGATGGATAGTTGTCTACCACACCTATTCATCTCTGCCCCCTGCCTTTTATCCTCAGAGCTAGGGTGGGGCTTTGCTAGCAGCAGTGGCTCTTCCGTCCCAAGGACCGTCCCATGGATTTCCACTGCTCTCCTCTTCTCTGTCTTCTGCACATCTGTGTGTCATGCAGTGGACCTAGCTGTTCCTCCTCATCCTCCTTAGCCGCCTCCAGATCTGGGGCCTGTTGACTCTTCATCTGATGGATGGGCCAGACTCTGCCTCTGTCTCTATCTCTGACAGCTCCATTCCCTCCCCCCCTTGGAGGTTTCAGATTGCCTTATGCTGGCCCTGACTCCTCATCTGATTTGGCTACTGGAGGGGCTGGTGGCCGACAGGCCACAACAGATACTCCATTTTCCAGATTAACTTTATTGACTTTGTTGAATTATCTCCTGATCAAAATGAGCTGAGCTAATAGATTGTTTTATTACCTTCTACGTGGTTTTAAAAATTGCTCTTCATTTTTATCCCACTGCATATTGAAAGAAGGTTGATGAATACATTTCCTTCCGATTACATACATATCTTTTATCTTGTGCTGAAAAAATAACTTTCCTTTTTGCTTATGGAGAAGGAAAGTGGCAAAAATGTTTTAAGGTTTATCGATTTTGATGCTTTTTAAAAAGAAAGAAAAGGAAAAGAAAGGAAAAGGGTAAAGGAAATACAGACTAACAGAACTTGTAAATGAGATCCTCATGTTTTCTGTTTTTAGATGGAAGCTTGTTATTCAGTATAACTCTCCAGTGAGCAATGTGCTAGAAATTTCATTTTCACCTTTCTGGAACAGTAAAAAAGAAAAGGACTTTTACCATACTTATAAGCTGTCTTTGTCTTTTATAAATCTTTGTGTGATTGCTTATTAAGAAGCAATTATTACGACGCTCAGTGGGATTTGCTCTTAAATTGGATGTGAGGAACTGCAGCCTTCTTTGTCCTTCCTTCCAGGGTTTATCCATGGAGCTTTTCTGTAACAAATTCTTGGTGTCCAAATATAAGGAAGGAGCAAGTGATTTGGCTAATATCAATGGGATTCATATAGCTGTTTGAGAAGCCTTCATTTTCCAAACTGACAATTTTCTCAATTTTGCCCAGGTTTTACTAATTCTGATGCACATTTATTTTTGAGTAAACTGATTTGAACTTAATGCCCCCCCATCCCTGCCCTGCTGATATCGTTGATCTACAGGACTTCTTTCCTAAAATTTCATGTGATGGTTGAAACATTTGAGTGTGTTTTTCAAATATAGACTGATTAGGGTTTTCTTTAATTGTTTGGTTTTGGTAATATAGCAATGTATGAAAGTTTGCAGGTATTTTCTTAGTGGTTGAAGTTTATAAAGACAGCTATATGTGTGGCCCATTGTGAATGTATATTTTTTTTAACAAACTTGCTTTAATTGCCGCTATTAGGAAATTTATTTAATGTTTTGTATTTTTAGATAAAACAAGAACAATCCATGTACTTTGAAAAAAAAAGATACTTTTTCTTGTTTAGACATTTAACTGCTGTATTTCCTTTCCTTTCACTCCCATGTGAATGAAAATTTCATTGTGGCAGCAGCCATATTTATTTTTCCCTAACATAAAAATCACTTCAGAACAACATTTTAGGGCCAAAATTAAGAATGCCTGCTATCACTCTTTCCCTTCCAAGGAATGTTACCCTCAAACTATAAGAAAAAGAAAATATCTAACATTTAAAAAGGGATCCTTTTCAATTAGGCTATGTCCTAAATTGCTTCTAGCTTTTCCTTTCATCTCCCACTTGTAAAAACAGCTTTGTGTTTCTGCTGAAAATAGGTTGCGATCACATGCCTATTGCAGAACTGTCTAAAGTATGCAAATTAAACCAAACAGTGTGCTGTTTTTGCACAGTATATTCTGACTTTTCCTATTAGAGTACAGAAATAGAAATTCCCAAGGATATTGATGTTCCTTTGACTTCCAGAAATCTTTTCAGCTATGTCCTTGACATAGAAATTTCTGCATTATCAAACATCAATTTTCACTTTTGCTAACGGGTGAAAACCTGCC